TTCCCTTTATTTTATCATCACAACAGCAACCCTCTGAACTAGACTGGGCTCAGAGAAAGTGACTGAATCAAATTCACCCAGTGAGTTTCCATGATTTAGGATGGACTTGAACCTGAGGCTTCCTGCTTTAATCCAGCTTTTACAGCCCTGCAATACATTGGCAGCCTTTTAAAAGCCAATCTTTCATCTCGTTTGAAGATAAATTCAGACAATTTAAAATGTTCATCTTATTCCCGTTGTTCTTTTGCAACTTTCCAAAGTAAATCTGTTTCCACAAAACCGAAAATATAGCTGCAGATTTATTCTCTAGATGGAGTCATAAATGACTATTACTCAATATCCTGAGTACAGTTACAGCAAATACGTGGTTGCTTCTATGCAGTTCTTAAATAACTAATGAGTTGTGCTGCTGCCTGTTTTCCCTTTCAGACATTGATCTCTGAAGAGGCTAAATAAAAAACCTGATATCCTCCAGAGGTTTTTAGTTATAGCTTCTACATTGTTGTTGTTTTTTGCAATTGTTTATGATGTTTGAAGCTGCAGGGAGTCAAAGTTCAAAACACCTGCCTAGTATCATGTTTTTCTTTGTTGAATTAAATGCAGAGAATTAAAGAATACAATAACAGTGCAGAACATAAACTGTTAAGCATTTTATAGGCTGTGCACTATAAACAGAAATAAGCATTGAGGTACGAAAGCCAAAGGGATCGGATACTACTCCAAACAAAACATTCAAGAAATCTCGTGTTTATTATTATTGTAGTTGGTTTAGCTCTTAAAATACATTTGTGTGCCAAAGTTCCTTCTTCACCATGGATATCACTGGGTCAGTTGCAATCTCTTAGCTCAGCCTACCTTACAGGATTATTCTTGGGAGGATAAAATGAGGAAGGACTTCTTATGACTGCAACTTTGTACTCTCAGATGGAAAGGTAGGTGATCCATTCAGTAGCATGGAATCGTTTGTGAGTAAAATAAGTATATTTAGTGTATTTATTTTACTGATCAGTACAACTTTATCATTGCAGGAGCTGTCTTGTTTTGTGACACGGTGCTATGAAGTGGTGATGAACGTAGTGCACCAGTTAGCTGCCCTTTATACCAGTAACAAGTAATTATCTGCTAGCTAAGAATAAATTAATAGGTCCGGCATGTTGATCAGTTTTCTAAATTATTAGTTCTGGGGGAATGGGAATGTGTTGGGTCTTTGCCCTGATTAAAAAAGATTAGATCGTCTTTTAATATACAGGTAGTCCTTGACTTGTGACCACACTTGAATTCAAAAATGTCCATTGTTAAGCAAGGTGGTTGTTAAGTGAGTTTTGCCCCATTTAATGACCTTTCTTGGCCATNCACAGTTTTCACAGTTGTATTTTGTTATTAGCTAATTAATGTTTAGAAGTGTCCTTCAATAACAGACATTTAGTGATGGTGTGTCTGGGTCTGTTTATGTGTGTGTATTTCTACTAATATAACATGAACCACTATTATCTTAAGCAGGTAATATCCTTATGATGTTTGTTCTCTTATGCCTGATTTTGAAACATGCAGTGAAATGCTGCCAAAATGAAAACAAGGCACTGTTGATTATTTGGTTCATTGGCAGGAAGCAAAGAGAGTGTTGAAACAACTGCACAAGTCACATTTTGTTTTATCAATAGCTTCTTCTTGACTGTGATGCAGGGATTGGGAAAAGGGTTGGCAAATTCAAGCACATTTATTTGGGAAGCATCCAAGCAAATAGATCTAAATGGCCAAATCTGTAAGAGAATAAAATCCTACCACCCACCACCTTGTTTCTTGTTGTGCATGGTAATTTTTGCATGGTATAGGATAATAAAGTAGAATTTAAACTTGAAAGCAGTATGTTGTGCTAAGCTTTTAATTTGAATTCCATTGGTTTTATAACTAGGGGAAAAAATGGCTACATATATTTGGGGGTAATTGATTGGTAATGATTGAGTTCTCTCAAAGTAGGGTAATTTTCATGTTTATTTTTCAAGCTGTGGATTCCAGTAAGGTGGAAGGAGATAGTCAAATACAGATGGGAAGATTTATTTCATTTCTCCAGGTAATATTTATAGTACTGATTTTTTGCAGATTTTTTTTTCTTTGCTAAGTGGTTGACTTTTTAATTGTGCTATGGGATTCATCCCCACCCTATGACAACAACAAAAGGGATTTAGGTAAATGTCCTTGGGTGAATTGGTGGTAAGTAGAGTTGTATTGTTCTTAGCTTTCTGTTTTTCTCTTTGCTTTGTCCACTTTCCTTTGCAGATTTTATAACAAACTCTTGCATGCATCTATTTGTAGTATGTCTGTGGTGGATTAAAACACTCTCATCTGCAGATGAATCTATATGCCTTGAAAAAGACCAATAAGACTAACAATTCTACTAGGTTTGGATTAATAAGGAAAAGGCACTCTAGGTGATAACATTAAATGTATCCAATGGTAGACAATGAATCTTCTCCTTATTCTCTACTTTCTATCAGTGCCCCTAATAAGGGATTTAGTGTTGTGGGCATTTCCTCCTTTGAAAATCAGAAAAAAAATTATATGCAGTATGGCAATTAACTTTTAGAAATAGTATGAACTTGTGTATTTTGCAAAAACTGTAGCTATTTGAAAAATCACTTTTAGTTGATACTGGAAGTATAGCTCGGGGAAACATCTTAAGAGAGAATGTTTTTGATAAAAACGAACAAGCAATGTATTTATTAATAGGACTTGAATTTTGCTGTATGTAATCAATTGTCATGCCTTTTCATTTGGCATAATTTCGGGACCTTGTGATTGGTTTTTGCTAAGCAACACTTAATAAAAAGGGAGCTGTTGTTTTTTTTAAAAAATTATCTAGCAGTAAAATGAGCTTGAAGTCAACTTTCTGATTTTTTTAATATTTCAATTTATTAGATTTTATTTCCTTTTTTATTTTAGCATTGCGGAGAAATAAGCCCTAATTCGCTTTGTTTATTTGTTGTTTACCCCATCACAAAAAACTCTTGGCAGTTTACACTGGGATTTTCCTTTATTTTATCATCACAACAGCAACCCTCTGAACTAGACTGGGCTCAGAGAAAGTGACTGAATCAAATTCACCCAGTGAGTTTCCATGACTTAGGATGGACTTGAACCTGAGGCTTCCTGCTTTAATCCAGCTTTTACAGCCCTGCAATAC